AAAGAAATGATGATAATATGGGCAAAGAACTTTGGATATAATATAGAATTAGAAGACTGGCAAAAGTTATGGGAAAGAAATGTTAAATTAACTAAAGCAGTGGCATATAAAGAAAACTTATATAAAATGTTTTACAGATGGCATATGACACCAGTGCAATTAGCAAAAATGTTTAAAAATACTTCAAACAAGTGTTGGAAATGCAAACAAAGACCAGGTACTTACTATCATTTCTGGTGGACATGCCCATAAGCAAAAAGATTTTGGGTAAAAATACATTTGTGGTTGGAGAAAATGACTAAAAAACAAATAGACTTTAAGCCAGAATTATTTTTGTTAGGAATAATAGGAGCAAATTATGAGAAAGATTGTATATATTTAATTCTACATGTACTAACTGCTGCAAGAATTGTATTTGCCCAACATTGGAAAAATGAAAATTTACCAACTGAAGAAGTATTAATTAAGAAAATGTTAGAGTGTGCAGAAATGGACAGATTGACTTTAAAGATAAAAGAGAAAGAAGACTCAGTGTATTTTAAAATATGGGATAATTTTTATCAATGCCTAGAAATATGAGTTAGAGAGAAAGGAATGTGATATGTAACTATGAATATATATTAGTAAGAGTGATTAATTAACATATTGTTTATGATAATTAACTATTATATATTATTTCTTGTTAAACACATGAACCCAGACATTATGCTGTTTGCTAAATATTGAGAATGTTATTTGGAAAAACCCTAACCCCAACCCTAATCCCAACCCTAACCCAAATCCCAACTCCAATCCCAATCCCACCTCATACCTAACCCTATAAAAACTAATAAAATTTATACCAAAAAAATTAGAGGCTGAGGCTTAACCAAGCGATGGTAGAGTCAATACTTCCTAAATCTGTTTTTTTTTTTTTTTAATTTCAGATATTATTCCTTTTTTTGGTCCCTTTTTTTCTTGACATTTCTCTCCTTCCCTTCCCATGAACCCAAGGTAGTCAGATTGTATATGTCAATGGTCCTGACTGATTCAACCAATCAAGGACTCTTCAAATTTGGTAAAATTAGAGAATATCATATGGCCAATGATCACAGTTTGCCCTGGTCTGAACTTGATCCTAACTGCTGATTCTGATAAACATGGCTACTTCTTTTTCATAGTATTGTTTGTCAAATATCTCAGGCAAGGTGCAAAAGTAAAATATAATATAAACATACACGTGAGGCTGAAAAAGTTTTCCTTACTCCTAAATAGACTAAAGTGAGGAAGTGAAGTATATAATATAAAGAAAGCAATAACACTGGCTTAGGTTCTCAAAGGGATTGTGGAATTATGGATTGTGGATCCTGGAAATATGATAGACTAGTCCATAAAAATTCCTGCCAGTATGTTCTATACATTTTCTAGAGTTTGACAGTTTTTCAAGAGACATAAGAAAACAATTCTTATGCAGTTAAGAGGAACCAATCTATCGATCTTCTAGCTAGAAAAACAGACACAGCTCATTTTCATTGAAGCTTGTTACAAGGAAAAGGAATGTGGCAGCAGTAGTAATTCACCTTTTAGTTTTGAGAGGTTATAGATCCAGATGCAATTAGGAAATTAAGTTTGGACTTGGCAGCTTACAGAAAATTAAGAAAGAAAAAAAGGCTGAAATTTGCCTGCCTGTATTTTCTAATTTCTTAGGGTATTAGTTTTATTGAGATTATAATCTTAGGTTAGTAGAGTCACATCTTATCTCACTACTGTTTTCCTACACATAATTTCACAATGATGGCCTTTCAGCTATTCCTTAATGCTGCCACATAATTTATTGCAAGCACAGAGGCCCTTAAAGGCTATTCTCCAGCTGTCTTCAATAGATAGCTTTTACCCACCTTCATTTTAATGGCATGTCTTCCAATTTATCAGATGAAACAGCTGGTCCAATTGGCATTATCTTTCAGTATCCTGAACTCAGATTTCTCTATATAGAACTTCTTTGGGTGTAATTATAGTTTCAATTAACTGCTTTTATCTTCCTTTTAACAAATGGGGGGTTGATCTAAGATCTAGCTTAAAAATATTATAATTTATCCTGTTAATCAAGTGGAAAAGCAACTTAGAATTTCCATCTTCAGCACAACACCACAATACTATTATTTCTGCAATAAAGGTCACAGGTCAATTGTTTGAAAGATACTGACTTCCACTCAGAAACCATCCTTTCCTATTCCATGTATTTGGTGGAATGACTTTACATACAGCAGCTCAAATGTCAGTTCCAAAGTTCTATTTGCTTCCTTGTCTGCCTGAACAATTAAGTTGGCAAACTGCAGAGGAGGCAGTTTATTTCTATCTTTGGCTCTTTTCCTGAAAGGTCCAAAGTTCTTCAAGTAAATATGTATGGTATAGATTCCTGTATAACTAGTATTAGTTTATTTTAATTCCTTACTATTGTTTATGGGATGAAAGTTGTTTGTGAGTAGTTTTATATAAATTCTTACTAACAGTTATGTTGTCTACCAGTTTAGAATGATTATATATTGTGCATTTGTATACTGAAAGCAGCCTATGAAAGATTTGACCATAAAAGTCCATTTATAAATGATTAAACAAACTTCTAAAGAAAGCATGTAGTGCGAAATTCTTGTTGATATTTGCTTTGAAACAAACAATAAAAATATTTGTCCAAACTTGTCAAAAGCATTTAATAATACCAGTTAATAAAAAATTAAATAGTTATTTTAATAACCATAGTCCAATAAAGCATGTAGGTATACATAGAGAGATGCAAATTGAATATACTCAGTTAGGAATAAAAAGATACAATAAAATAAAATAAAAAATGGTATTCAAGTGAATAGTAGAAGTGACAAGTAGAGGTCTGGAAATTTCACTAGGATGAAATGGTTGAAAATAATCTAAGATTCCTCTAAAAAGCACAGAAAAGAAACATTTAGCTCACTGATGCTATTGAACCATTTCTACAATGCTAATATAAATGGGGTTTTTTTACTCATGCCCCAGCAAAACAACCTATCCAAAGTATAGACTGATCAAAATTTCAAAACAATAATGCAAGAAAAGTAGGAAATTGGTGCCAACACTGATTTTAAATAAAAATCCCATAAGCTATAAGATAAGGAAACAGGCTTCAATTGATTTGAATATCAATAATTGTGCTATTTTAGAACTTTTCTATTACTTTCAACAAGAGACCTAGAAAATGGAGCTATAAGGTTTTTTAACCAGGTTAACTTTAAAGAGTCTCAAAGAAGAGTAAACCCACTAGGAGAAAAGTAGCTTTAAAAAGAAATCAAGAAGTATATATCAAGCTCTAGCATTTACAGAGACCGACATCTTTGAATAAAGACTGTATTTTAAATATATTTTGGGACTGCCTCAACAGCTCTAACATACTTGAAGGATGTTAAGCTTGGTAAAAGTACCGATTTGGGTACTACATTTGGACTTAGCTGAGAGATACTTTAGCTAAAAAGATTTTGCTGGCAGATCTTTCAGCACATTGCTGAAATGTGCTCCATTTGTGTGGAAAAATTACAAGATATCTAAAAAAATATTTCCTCCAGGGCAGTGAAGGCTGTAAGAGTACTTCATATTATTTATAGCAGAGGTGGGAACAATGGCCCCTTTATGACTTGTGAATTTCAGCTCCCAGAATTTCTGAGCCAGTATGGCTCAGGAATTCTGGGAGTTGAAGTCCACAAGTCATAAAAGGGCCATAATTCCCCGCCCCTGATTTATAGGTATGGACCTGCTTGATAAAATTTCTATTAATTTGTCAGTTATGATTTTTGTAAAAAAATCCATGCAACTATTAAAACTTTGTTTCTGATGATTCATACCAAGCTTTACCAAGGCAAAAATAAGCCAGTTTCTTCAGCAGTCTTATTTTAACCTGGGAAATATGTTTATAATATCATATCCAGGCAAAAGAGCTGGAAACACTCTATCTGCTAATATAGGAGGTGCATAATCAGAACCAAGAGGATCTAGATTGTTGCATGTATGTATGTATGTATGTATGTATGTATGTATGTATGTATGTAACAGAATCCTTGTGTGGGGATTTTAATTGGTCACCAGATGACATTGAATCCAAACCTGCTCAGAGTTTGTGGCCTCCTTGGTAGTCATGAACTTGACCCAAAACATTAATATATGTCAGGAGCGACACATGGAATCTGTTTTTTTGTCTCAAGCACTTGAACTGTGATCTAACAGTAGAGGACATAGACCTAAGTCTGTTGCCATGTACAGATGTCTGTCTGGTTGTCTTTCAACTCACTGGAGACATATGTCTATGTAACATCTCTGATTTGCAAGTTGCTCTGGCTCTTAGTTTACTTCTGGGTGCAATTCCCGATTCCCTGTGCTAATTGTTGCCTATAAAGCCATACATAGCATAGGGCCTGGTTACTTGCGGGACTGCCTATCTCTCATAATATCTGCCTGACCATTTTAATCTGACAGAATTGATCTGCTGTGGATTACTTCAATTAAATAATGCCATCTATTGGTACCCCAGAAGTGTGCCATTTCAATTGCAGTGTCTGCCCTCAGGAATGTGAATTCCCCAAGATCTGGATAGCCTCCACTTTGCTGATATTTTAAAAGACTTGAAGACCTGGCTGTTCACCCAGATCTGGCTTTTTACCATAGGAAAAATAACCCCTATGGGAACCAGATTGATAAGCATAGTTCCCAGGCACCATTCTCAGGGTTTCAATTTCCTCTCAGGCTCTCAATCTCCTCCCCACCAGTGCAGAGATAAGACAGGCACATTCTTTCTTCTGTTGACACCTGTACCAGCCTCCCCCCTCCCAACAACAGAACAGCAAAGCCTCTTCCTCCCCACTCCCAGCAGAATGGCAGACCAGAACATAGAAGTAAAATCCATATATTAAATGAGGGTCTGACATGGTGCCCCCCTAAAAAATGGAAGATCCACCTGCAAGAGAGAGAAAATAAGAAAATGGGAAAAGAAAAATAAACAGTTAGGAGGGTTTATCAGGATAGTGTTCATGAAAGCGTTTAAGTAGCTTTGGGGCCCTAACATGTTTTTTGTGAACACATTCCTTCTGGGAAGCTGGAAAATCTTTCCAGGCTATCAAATATTGGACAACTCCATGATCTTTATGTGAGTCCAAGATTTCTTTAATCTCAAAGTGTTGTTCACCTTCCATCATAATGGGCTGTGGTGTAAGAGGTACTGTTGGCCTTAAAGATGAGGTTATCTCGGGCTTCAGCAAGCTAGAATGAAACACTGGATGAATCTGTCTTAAAATCTTAGGAAGTTCCAGTTCCACAGTAACTGGATTGATGATGTGTTTGATTGGGAAGGGACCTACAAATTTGGGTCCTAACTTCTTGGAAGATTGCAGTGATTGCAAAAACCTAGTTGATAAATAGATTTTGTCCCCAATATTAAAAGGTTTGGGTTCCCTTCTCTTTTTATCTGCTTGAGCTTTATAAGCATTCCTGGCTTCGTCTAGGGCTTTTCTGACTATTGGCCAGGTATTTTGCAACTGATTCATCCATTCCTTAAGGGAAAGGATGGGGGGCTCACTGGTAGGTAGTTGGGCATAGGGTTGAATACCTGTCCCATGAAAGGGGCTGTACCTTGTGCTGGAGTGAACAGCATTGTAATATGCCACTTTAGCAAAGGGCAAGAGATCAGCCCAATTGTCCTGCTGGTGATTGATAAAGCACCTAAGATACTGCTCTAGAACTGAGTTCCTTCATTCTGTCCACCCATTTATTTGAATCTATGACTAGAGCTCAAGCCTTGTTCTGTACCCAATAGGTCCAAAAAGGCCTTCCAGAACTTTGAAGTAAACTGTATACCCCTCTCTGAAATTATGTGCTCAGGGGCTTCATACAATCGGTAAATGTGTTGGGGAACATTTAAGTTAAGATTTTAGCAGTTGGGATCTTTTGGCGTGGAATGAAATGGACTTACTTGGAGAATAAGTCAGTTACAACCCGGATGACTGTATTTCCCGAACTCTCTGGCAGTTCCACAATAAAATCCATAGAAATCTCTCTCTCTGAAGGGCTCGCTGCAAAAGATCAGGGATTTTCCCTTGCCTCTGCTTCGCTGCAGCGCAAATCAGGCAGCTGGCCACATAACTTTCAATGTCTTTTTTCAAGTAAGAAGCCTAGTTGCTGGAGGTCTTCATCAAACTTCACCCCTAGAGGGACAGCTTTGCTTCCTCTGGTGGAGCTCTTCCTCTGGGGGCTGGTGGAGCATTCCCATGGGGGTCTCTGCAGCTGTTTCTATAGATCCTGCTGTGCCCACCACCGGTTCAGTTGTCTCTGACTCACCACCTATGCACTTGGGTTCCTCCAGCTGATCCTCCTTTTTGCTCCTGGATTTTGCCTGGATTTTATTTTAGGTCTTTTTTTAGTTTATATTTTATTAATTTTTATAGGGTTAGGGTTAGGGTTAGGGTTAGGGTTAGGGTTAGGGTTAGGGTTAGAGTAAGGGTTAGGGTTAGGGTTAGGGTTAGGGTTAGGGTTAGGGTTAGGGTTGGGGTAAGGGTTGCGGTTAGTTAAGGTTTTTTAAAATAACATTTTTAATATTTAGCAAACAGCATGTTGTCTGGGTTCATGTATTTAAAAAACAATAAGTAATAATTAATTTCTATATTATCATAATCAATATGTTAGTTAATCACTCAGAAGTCTTCTTCCTACTAGTATATATTCAGTGTTACATAGTACATATCATGTTCCTTTCTCTCTAACTCGTTTTTCTAGCCATTGATAAAAATTATCCCATGTTCTAAAGTATACTGAGTCTTTTTTCTCTTTTATCTTTAATGTCAATCTGTCCATTTCTGCACAATCTAAAATTTTCTTAATTAGTTCTTCTGTTGGTAAATTTTAATTTTTCCAATATTGGGCAAATACGATTCTTACTGCTGATAATACATGTAGAATTAAGTATATACAATCTTTCTCATAGTTTCCTCTTATTATGCCCAACAGAAATATTTCTGGCTTAAAATCTATATATTTTTAAGTCATTTTCTCCAACCAGATATGTATTTTTGACCATAGCTTTTAGCTTTAGGGCATAACCACCAGATATGGTAATAAGTACCTGGTTTTTGTTTACATTTCCAACACTTCTTTGATCTATTTTTAAACATTTTCGCTAATCTCACTGGTGTTAAATGCCATCTGTAAAATATTTTATATAAGTTTTCTTTTTAAGCCACCGCTTTCGTTAATTTAGCGTTTCTTTCCCAGCGTTTCTTTGCCAGTTTTCTAATTCTATATTATGTCCAAAGTTCTTTGCCCATATTATCATTATTTCTTTTACTTTTTCCTCTTCCATCTTTAAGCTTAACAAATATGTGTAGAGGTTCTTAATCAATTTTTCATCTGTTTTTAACAGTATCTGGTCAAACTCTGTTCTTTATAAAATCCCATTGTTTTAGCATCTTTTTCATATCTCGTTTAAATTTGCAGGTATGGCCACCATGATAAATCAATACCTTGTTCTTGTAAATCTTGTCTATCTTTCAGTTTCACTTCATTGTCCAAAATATCTTTATAGGTCACACCTTTCTCGTAGTTAATTAAATTTGGGTAAGTGAATTCTTTCATTGTTGAAAGCCATCCAAGTATTTTAATATAGAGTTTCGCTTTTATTTTTTCCCATTCTAAAAGAAGTGCATTTCTTATACAGTGATTTTGAAAGTATCTATGTATTTTATTCTTCCCATATCACAGAAAGGCATGCCATCCAAGTTGTAGGTCATGCCCCTCTAGGTATAATAGTCTTATGTCTAGCATTATCCACTCTTTTAGCCATGTTAGTATAGTTGCTTGGTAGTATAATGTCCAGTCCGGCAGTCCAAACCCTCCACTTTCTTTCACTTCTTGTAACATTTTCAGTCTAATTCTGGCTTTTTTTCCTTGCCAGATAAATTTCAGTATTGTTGTATTTAGTTCATCCCAAAAAAATTTCCCAGTATTATAAAAAGAGTATTTTTGGTAAGATATTCATTTTCACTGTTGCTATTCTGTTGTATTTTACCAAAAACTATATAAAAATATTAGAATTGGACTATCAAAATCTTTGTGTAATGGGAGACTTCAATGCAATAATAGATAGAACTTTGGACTATAAAAGCAATAAACAAGAGAAGAAAGGAAGAAATTTATTACCTAAAGCATTTTTGAAAATGGCAGAATTCTGTATTCAAGACTTACGGAGAGAAAAAAAAGTCCCAAAAACCTGCAATATACATTTTATTCAAATAGACATAAATCATGGTCTAGAATTGATATGATATAGACATCCTCAGAACGTCGCACAATGATAAAAGATATAGAGATAGAAACTAATATTTGGGCAGATCATAATCCAATAAAGGTGATTTGGAGAGCAAGAAAAAATTAAGATGGTCCTTGAACAAATCTATATTGAAAGAAAAAGAATTTATATAACTAGCGACAAAGGAAATGAACTTTTTTTTCAAAATAAATAAATGAATAAGAAAGAAAAGACATTGCTTCAAAATCTGTTGGACACAGCTAAAATATATTTCAGAGGGTTGGCTATAACCTACACAGCTAAAAAGAATAAAGAAATAAAACAACAGTTAAAGTTGAAGGAAGAATTTAGAAAATTAGAATTAGAACTACAAAAAGATCTACAAAAGAAAATACTTAAAAAGCAAATGGAAACTTCCGGTTCCGGTTCGCCGCGTCTGCGGTCCTCTTCACTGACCGATTTTCCTTCGCCGGTAGACCCCAAACGGGGTTAAAAGTTGCCCTGGAGGGGCAATTACTGATGAGGGAGCTTGCTGGTGACTGCGGGAGGGCGGCATCATCTCCTGCGGCTCCAGCTGACTCCTTAGGGCCAACGGAGTAAAGATCGTCCTGTAAGATGGCCGATCCTCTAGCTACACCAGATGAAAGTCACAAGAACATCTAAGCGTTAAGAACCACCGCGGATGATCCAGGTGAGACCCTTCCTTTTCCTCTCTTCACCCTATTTTTTCCTCTTTTTTTACCTGTAAAAAGCCTTCTTGGAACTACTTCCCTGCCCTAAGAGAGCGGCATTTGTCTGAATGGGAAGAAAAGTGTTGAACAAAAGAATAGAATAATTAACTTTATTGCCTATATTTTACTTTTAACTGGGGTCCTGAAAAAACCCTTTTATAGAGCTTTTTTCTATATATATATTAAAAAAGGAAAAATTGTTTTCTTGAAAGAATCTAACCCACTGAAGACATCTTTTTTTAACCAACAAGACAAAACAAAACAAAGCAAAACATAACACACATACACACACAATATATACTCCTGCTTTTTTTTACAGCAATTGCGTAACAGTAATCTATTATTTACATTTCCCCCCTTATTCTTCTTTAGAATATTTGTCCTTATAGCCCTGTTATTTCTTATTTACATTTTTCTTCCTTCATGTTCTACTTCTTACTAAGAATAATTCATATTATTATTATTATACATTATTATACACATATTTTCACTTTTGACCTTTCCATAGTTATTCTCCTCTATTATTTCTAGTCTCCAACCAGACATACAACTTGTTCCATGTTATATAATACTCTGTGTCTTCCTTTTCTTTTATCTCTTTTGTTAATTTGTCCATCTCAGCACAGTCCAGGATTTTTCTTATTACTCCACTGAAGACACCTTGTGGTGAAACTTAAATACTGCAATTGCCTGCATTTACTTGGAGATGAGGTTGGTCTGACCTTCAAACTGTTGTAAAAGGGAAAAGATTAAGAAGTTTGCAGCTGTTAGAAATTGTAGGGGTGGACATCAGTTAACCCTGATTAAATATAGCCTCATTAAAAGATAAAAGGACTGCTTCTAACTATTATTGAAATGGAAAAACCTTACTTACAACTAAACTGTAAACTTATATTGGAAAAAAATCATGAAGCCACTGAGCAAGTATGTGCCAAAATAAAAGAGATTACTACAGAAATAAGAGTCAGAATCCTCATTATAAATCTTCAAACTGACTTTCAGACTTTAACTGACTACCCTATAAGCCAAAATACATCAGAAGAGGAATTAACCTATATTAATGAGGAATCTATATTACTTATAAGCATCCTATTGAGACTTCTGAGGACCAAAAGGTAACTTCAACCAAAATATACACAACTCCAAAAACAACAGGAATTGATGTACAAACACGACTTATTGAGAACGATAATAACTTCAATAACCAACCATTAACCATAAAACTGGATACAACTGAATATTTTATCCAACTGAACCAAACATTGGATGAACTTTTAAAGCAACAAGGATCTATCTACAATGGATTTAGGTGTCTAAAACAGAGGATGGGATGTTTTCCATTGACCCAAATGACATCACAAGGAATAAAGGGAGATCTATCTGCTGAAATAGACGCTCTGTTATGGAAGCCGGTTTGGCACAAAAAGAAAACTAGAATAAGACTGAAAAAAGAGATTTAAAACTACATGTAATGGGTCAAAAAGGTTTTGTAGACACGGATTGATTCAAGTTTTAAGATTTAGAATTAGAAGTGAGAGAATTTGTAACTAGTAGAATATATATTTGAAATAGAATAAGAATGTACTTTCTGAAATAAGATGTTTATTTTACTTATGAAAACTATTTTATAATGGAACAAGAATAAGAAATTGGAAGAGGCTTTAGAGAGTTGGATTGATTTAACAACTAATTGAGTATGTCAAGGTAGTAAGATGATACTTTGTGTAATATTATGTATCTTTTAGATATGATAATTATTTGGATGAGAGTTAAATTCTATTTAATGGACACAAAGGATTTTGTGTTTTGTTTTGTTTTGTTTTGATATAGAAATAGATTGATAGATAGATTATATATAGAGAGAGTAATGTTTTTCTATTTTAACCAGGATAATTATTATGTACTGGAAGAAGATATAAGAGAGATTTGTGATAAAATTAATGATTCATTAGAATAAAAATCAGAATACATTTGGAAATATTTGAATGCTATTGCTATTTTAGAAGGGATACCCGAAGTGTTATCGATATGTTTAATTAAGATTAAATTGGATTATGGTAATTGTAAATTTGTAAAGCTTAAAAACAGGATTTGGATTTATATAAACGTAATCTAGAAATGGACCACTTTAAATATGCTGTACTATTTGAGGGAAATAGAGAGGGAACGTTTAATGTATTAATGTGAGTTATATATACATGACATTGTTTTTTGATGATTGATTACCCCATCACCATGGTGTTCCTAGAGCACCTTGTTGTAAAACTTAAAAAAACCAATAAAACTTGTTTAATAAAAAAAAAGCAAATGGAGATAATAAAACATAAACTAAACCTAGTAGAGGCAGAAATAATGGCTCAACAGATTAAAAGGGCCAAACAGAACTTTTTTGCAAATGCCAATAAGCCGGGGAGATGGTTAACATATAGACTGAAAAAAGAAAAAGAGAAAAAACTGATAAATAAGTTGCAAGATCCAAAAGATGAATTACAGTTTCAAAATGACACAATTAAAAAAAACTGTTAAAAGACTTTTACAAGATACCTTACAACACAGAAGAAATTTCAAAGGAAAAACACAGCAGTACTTAAAAAAAACAGAGTTACCAAAAATTCCAGAGAATATTCAAAACATATTAAATGGAAAAATATCAATGATGGAGATAACAGAGGCCATAAAAAGGTAAAAAATGACAAGACCCTAGGCCCAGATGGATTACCTGCAGAGCTCTACAAATCATTACAAGATATACTAAGCCCAATATTGTAAGGACTGTGTAATGAAATACTTTTGGAGGCTAAAATACCAAATACATGGACTGAAGCTAACATCACTTTAATACTCAAAGAAGATTCTGATTTGACACAAATAAAAAATTACAGACCAATATCATTATTAAATGTAGATTATAAAATTTTTGCCTCAATAACAGCAGAAAGACTAAATAAATTTCTGACCAAATTTATACATACAGACCAAAATGGTTTTCTACCTAAAAAACAGATTAAAAAATAACTTAAGAATGATCCTATTCATCCAGGGAAACAGATGGCTCTAATGCAGTGGTTCTCAACCTTTCTAATGCCACGACCCCTTAATACAGTTCCTCATGTTGTAGTGACACCCAACCACAAAATTATTTTCGTTGTTATTTCATAACTGTAATTTTGCTAATTTTATGAATCGTAATGTAAATATCTGATATGCAGGGTGTATTTTCATTGTTACAAACTGAACATAATTAAAGCATAGTGACTAATCACAAAAACAATATAGCAATGCTCAATGGAGAAGCTTACTCTTCCTTGCTCAAAAATGTTGGGAGGGAGGGAAGGGGAAGGAAGGAAGGAAGATTGAAGGGGAAAGGAAGGAGATGGAGAAGGAAGGAGATTGAAGGGGGAAGGAAAGAAGGAAGGAAGGAAAGAAGGAAGGAAGGAAGGAAGGAAGGAAGGAAGGAAGGAAGGAAGGAAGGAAGGAAGGAAGGAGAGAGAGATTGAAGGGGAAGGGATGGAGATGGAGGTAGAAGAAAGGAAGGAAGGAAGATTGAAGGGGAAAGGAAGGACATGGAGAAGAAAGGAGATTGAAGGGGGAAGGAAGGAAGGAAGGAAGGAAGGAAGGAAGGAAGGAAGGAAGGAAGGAAGGAAGGAAGGAAGGAGAGACTGAAGGGGAAGGGATGGAGATGGAAGAAAGGAAAGAAGGAAGATTGAAGGGGAAAGGAAGGAGATGTAGAAGGAAGGCGATTGAAGGGGAAAGGAAGGAGATGGAGAAGGAAGGAGATTGAAGGGGGGAGGCGCTGCCAAGGATGCACAAGCAGCTCCGCACAATTGCCCGGGGAGAGCAATTGGTGGAGAGCCAAGTGGCGGCACCTTTGGAGCCTTGGAAGTCGCGTGGAGGATCTACGTGCCTTGGAGCCACTGGCCGCCCTCTCACACCTGCCAACCTGGAGCCCCAATCCTCATCCCAGCACCTCTTGCCCTCTCCCAGCCACCCCCCCGGGACCTCCAGCCATCGCAGCCCATCGCACGCTAGAGGAATGCAGCTGGAACACCAGCTCCCGCTCGGAAGGCACCGCTTCTCCCCTCCTGGCTGGCCTCTGACGCACATGCAGGCATCGCTGCCGCCTCGCCCTCTTTCCTGCCCCCTGGCTGCTTCTGAGGCCTGGAGCCTGGCAAGCTGGGAAGGAGCCGCTTCTGCCCGGCAGCCTCATGGCCACGCCAGGCACCAAAGGGCCAAGGCGGCCTTCGTCAGTGAGGGAGGCGGGCTGGGTAGCACAGGGGAGATGGCGCGGTGTGGAGGGCGGCTGGGGGCAGAGCGCAGCCGGGCAACCAGGAGGCATGGAGACTGGCTCGGTGCCGCAGCTCAGCTCAGCTGGCAGCGGCAGCAGCGGTTTTCTCGCCCTTCTTCTCTCCTTCCTGAAGGAGCGGGAGCCCGGAGGATGAGGGGTGCCTGGGGGGAGCAGCTGGGCTGGTGGAGGGGCTGGCGGGCCACATGGCACCAGCCCCCACCGTGGTTCCATTGATGGACGGAGGACCAGGCTGTACAGCGCAGAGCGGCTGAGACGGCAGCAGCGGCGGCCACTGCTGCATCATTAGGGGTCCCCGCCACCCCCACGCTGCCCTGCCTGGTCCTCCATCCATCAATGGTGCCATGATGGGGGCTGTGGCCCACCAGCCTGGCTGCTCCCCCCCAGGCACCCCTCTTCCTCCCAGGGCCCGCCCGAGCTGCCTTAGAGGCAGCAGGAGGAAGAAGTAGAGGAGAAGAGCAAGAAAACCACTGCCACTGTCCCTGCCACCCCCCCGCTGCCCGGCCTCGCTCTCCGCCTATCCGATAAAGCCGTGGTGGGGGCTCATCCAGCCTCGTCCAGCCTGGCTGCTCCCCCCCCAGGCACCCCTCTTGCCCC